CTTCCCTTCCCTTCCCTTCCCTTCCTCCTCTAATAAAAGCCTTGAGCATTCAATTGAATGCTCCCAAAAGGATGGGAGATGGAGAGCCAGTAAATAAATAGAGATATTTGGAACTTGGGAAAAAGCAACAGCTCTCAAATTTTTGGCCCTATTTATAGGAAGATGCTTGAAATCATTGAAAAAAAAACATACCCTAACATTGCTGGCTGTTTTGCTCTCTTTCTTTCTTTTCCTCTTTCTTCGTTGCTCAGATGTCACAAGTTGGAGGGAAGGCGGTGGTCGAAACAGCACCTCGGCCACCTCTTTGTCCCCCTACCCAACTGAGCTGGGTACCAAGACCTCCAGCGCAGAAGATGACGCTCCCACCTCAGCAAACAGTGGCGATCCGAAGGGACCTTCTCCCCGTCCTACTGTGCCTCTTCGCAAAGGGGCGTCCCCGTTTATGGCAAATGCGTACCAGCCACCCACTTACCACGACATGCTTCCCGCGTTTGTAAGTTCCCCAGCTCCTTAAAAATGAATCCGCTGCAGCAGGGAGGTCCCTGACCTAATATGGAGGGGCGTGTTAGGAACGGTGAGAACGTGCGATGGGCGCAACTGGGTGCTACGGTGGGCCTGGCCAGTTGCCAAATACCTGTTTTGCCACCGATAAAATTGCAACAGTTCTCATTCATCCCCTTGACCACCTTTGTTCCTTTCGTGTTTATGGAGCAGAGAACTTTTAAACCATTTTCTCGGAGGCAACTGTCTTTGGTTTCTCGTTGGGAGAACGCGTTTGGTTTTAGCAAACCGTTTGGACCGTTGCTCGTGAAACACAATGGAACGCCGTTGTGGCTGTTTACCTCGTTTGCAAAAGGAGGTTGTGCCCCAATGGCGCTGTTCGTGTTGCAGTGCCATGGCAAACAGGACGCCATTGGCACGGGGGCGGAGGCTGTTGGGAAATGGCGTCATTGGCATTGTAAATGACGTCAGTCATGGCAGATCTCATAAAATTAAGATAAAATTACCTGCTACATCCAGGTTCCTTCCGGTGCACCCAGTTTGTCCATTTACTTTGAAGGAGAGGTAGGGATGGGTGGAAATTTAACATTGCATCCAAAGTCCACTTTATAAAGGTTTGCTAAATTGAGATTGTGTCAGAAGTAGAGAGGATTCTTGCGTTTAGATAATTTTGTTGTTGTTGTTGCTAAACACAACCCTTTTTTCAAATCTGTCTGACTGGGTAGGGCAAGGAACTTGGGCATGTTTTGGCAACCGTCCGGAGTCACGTTGGGTCATGAGCCCGGCAGCCTGGGCTTCAATTTTGCCTTGGAGAATTTAAACATCTCTCTTAACTTGCTTGTAAAGTGTCCTGAAAGGCGGGGGGGGGGGGGGGAGCTTAATTATCTTGACAAGCAGGGCCTTTCTAGTCAAAATTCGGTGTAGAAATGGGAGTAGTAGAGTTGAAACTTTGATGAAACTTGATGGCAACCCGATCTTATTCCTTTCCTCCTCTCCCTTTTTTTGGTATTCAAACGAATGTTATTTATGAGATTTAATACATTAAATGTAGTCTTCTGAGTCAAGAAAGAAGGCGGTGGGCGTAACGATTTATAACCCTTGTTTTTTTCCCCCCCATCCTAGATGTGTTCAAATCCGCCATCTGAGACCCCTGGTCTGCCTGAACGGGGGACCTTCCCTCTCCCACAGTTTTGTCTGGAACCCCGTGTCCCCTTCAGACAATATCAGTCCAGTGACCAAGATGGGTAAGGCCGTAGAGAGTGTGTAGCATTGTGCAAGATGTTTGTGGATCAGGCTGTGTTGTTTGCTGTGGTGTCTGTTTGCGACTTCCAGGTGTTGTTCCTAAGAATTTTTAGCAATAATTCTTAGAGTTCGGCCTTTTAATTTTTTTTAATTGTATGTTTTGTTAGTGAATGTAGCAAACAGGAGGAATAACTGTGCAAAAAAAGTATCTTTCATAGGGGATAACAATAAATTAAAACTGAAAAAAGAAAGATGCACCTAGCATTACTGTACAATTAGTTCAGTCCACATGTTACTAAATCTAGACCAGTGTTTCTCAATTTTAGCAACTTTAAGAAGTGCAGACTTCAACACCCAGAATTCCCCAGCCAGCATCTGGGAGTTCACACATCTTAAAGTGTGTTGGCTGGAGAATTCTGGGAGTTGAAGTGCACACTTCTTAAAGTTGATGAGGTTGAGAAACACTGGTCTAGACTATTTAGAAATGGTGCTTTATCTTCTCATTTCTACAATATAAAGTCATGTCAACAATAACAAGACATTTCTTGAACCTATCCTTTGAAGTCTGCAGTTCTGCCTGTATAGAATGATTTTCTTAGCTGAATCTCAGGCACAATAGAGCCAAAGTTTTCCATCAAATGTCAAATTCCCTATTTTTAGAATATAGTTCAACTCCATGTTTACATCTTTGTCAACTGTGTATTTCCCCAGAGTTGTGTAAATGTGTAAGAACCTGGGATCAAAAAAGAGCCATAGAAAGACATGACCAAATCATGTGAGTCAAAGTGCCTTCTTAAACCCAGCAAGTTTAGTATCCAATTTTTAAAAATGTTCTTTGGTGGTAAGGGGGTCATTACTCATAAGCAACTTCTGAAGAAAGGGACAAGGAGAGAATTACATAGGACAGAAGGAGTTAAATTACCAAAGTGGTGGCGTTGATCTTATCCTAAACCACTAGGGCCTATCTGTCCTCCTCATTCTTTGCCATCACCTTCAACAAACTGTTAACGTTCCTGTTGAGATGAACCTACAATCCTCAGATTCACATGGGGAGATCTAGTCACTCATCCCCTCTTTCTTGGCGCTTGATCTCCAAAGATCTTGAGATCTTTGTTGGAAATATGCTGAACAACATCAGCCCAGTCTTGTCTTGGCCTCTTCTGCTTGTGGTCCCATCTGAGAGGTTTTACACTCCTCCTTTCTCTGCCAAAAAGGTGTTCCCAAATCACCCAAGCAATAACTCTCTCTGTTGCAGAAAAGAGAAAAGACTTGGGGTTCCACGCCCAGCTCGTCCAGTCCGGCCACAGGGGGAGCGAGTCCCCAGACCCACCATCATTAATGCAGAGAACCTGAAAGGGTTGGATGAATTAGACAACGATGCTGAGGACGGCTGGGCAGGTGAGCAGATCAATGCCCACCCTTAGGTCCCATTCTACAGACTCAAGACTCTCTCTTGCACACATTGGTTTGGACTTCCTGGTTTAAGCAAACCCTGTTTTACTATGCTGTCTAATGAACTGTGGTTTACAACTATCTAACATTGTCACCTACAGACTGGTAGCACCATTGTGGATCTCAGCTGATCTCCAAAGCTAATCAGAGTTAGATCTGATTAGTGCTTGGATGGAAGCCACCAAAGGCTGTAGGTTAGACTTAGAAATGAATGGCTTTTGGTTAGGGTTAGGGGTTATGGTTAGGCTTAGGGCTAGGCTAGACTTGGAAACAAATGGGTTTTGTTAGAATTAGGGTTAGGGTTAGGGGTTATAGTTAGGGTTAGGTTAAATGGATTTTGGTTCAGGTTAGGATGAGGGGTTAGGTTTAGGCTTATGCTTAGGGCTAGGCTAGACTTAGAAACACATGGTTTTTGCCTAGAGTTAAGATTAGGGGTTAAGGTTTGTATTAGGATTAACGCTAGGCTAGGCTAGACTTAGAAATGAATGGCTTTTGGTTTTAGCTTCCTGCTGAAGAGCCTAACGAACAGATTCCTTGTTTGGGGAAGAGGGTGGGTGAGTCCACCCCGAATCAGCCGCAGCCGTCAGCTTCTTTTCTCCTTGTCCCGGTTCCTTGCTTTTTTAGGCATTCACGATGAAGTGGATTATTCCGAGAAACTGAAGTTCAGCGAGGATGAGGAGGAGGAAGAAACCCCCAAGGATGGAAGACAGAAATGGTAAATGGAAAGAGAGGTTGCAAATCCCGTGCTTGATCCGCTTCCCGTGGGGCACGACATCTCTTGCAGAAAAAGGATCGCCCAGTCTTTGAAAGACTGACATGTTGGTAGAAGATCCCAACCTTTGGGGATCAGTGGGCATATTTGGCGTTTTGAGCCTATGTTGTTGGCACTCTCACAAAATGTCTGCTGCGGTGGGCATGCCCAGGTAAGAAATACCCATTTAGCCAAGCAAGTGGGATCGCATCTCACCAGCGCCTTGAGCCTGCAGGACGCTCTCCAGATTATCTTCGCAATTTTTTTTTTTACCAGTTTTTCACAAAAAAAAATTTTTTTTTTCTTTTTCACCTCAACCGTGGGCTTTCTCCCCAACCTTCTGGACTCTCTGTGGGGCCCAGTGCTCTATTTAGAAATTTAAAAAGGTATTGCAGTTTATCATTTTAGTAACTTACCCTGAATTTGTAGTTTTAGTTAGTGACTTATCCTGTGTCAACCAAGTATCTTTCATCTAAGCCTTAATGAGGTTTTTCGGTTTCTCTTCCCAAAATGGACGCGATGCCTTTTATAACACCATTGTTAATTAATAACATATTGGAAAATAGTGGGTTCTGTGATGATTTAGATAATTTATTGGCATTTTGTTCTTTCGTTACACATTTTATCTCGTTTGGGTTGTGTTTTTTTCTAAAAAAAATGTTCAGTGGAAAATAACACACACACACACACACACACACACTTACACACACACATGGAAATAAAAGAGATTCTTTCCATGAGATGGCCTGATTTGCTCAAGTAGCATGTGGGGAACCTGGGTGTTAACGTTTGCGTACATCATCCCACATACAAATTGTTCTGTCTCTGCTAAATCACGAGGTTCTGGCCTCCAATATCAGCTTCAAAGTCAGAGAGAAATGAGATAACTCAAAACTGCAGGTAGCAATCATGATCTTTATGATGGTGGCCATTTACAAAATGCTGACCAATACCTTGGCTTGGTGTTGGTCAACCCTAACCCTATACAAGCAGATCTCTGAAGTGTGCCAAACGTTGAGCTAGATTCAGCCACAGGGAATTAGAAGGGAATCGTTTGAGGAATTTAAGGATCGAGGGAATTGAAGGATCAAGGGAAGTTTTTGATTTCCTACCACACTCTCTGCTTCAGCTTCTCCGGGCTAAAGAAGCTGTATCTTCTTGAAGAAGTTGAAAGGTTGGCTTGTCTTCCCCGTGAGTTTTTCTCTTTCTTCCCATCAGCAATGTCTGTTGTTCAGAATTGCAGTGGGGTACGTTAACGTCCTCAATGCCTCCGTTGGCAGGACCAGCTGGGATTCCCGAAGGCAGCCCCTGCTGAGCTCAGGAGAAAACACCGATGTCAGACACCCTTTGGAAGAAACCAAGAACTGGAACGACTCAACCAGCTTGTCCCGGTCCATCCGTAAAGTGCAGGAAGGTCTACCGGCTTCAAGGAAGCTGAACGGCTGGAGTCCCCTTCCGGACTATCAGGTATTTTGAACTGGGGCCATAGCTGCTTGTGAACGAATGCAGCTTTAATTCTCTGGTTTTGCTAGGAATTAAAAAAAAAATTGAAATTTGGAATCCCCCCCGATTCTACACCTAGACGTGCCAATTGCCCCCTGTTTTTCCCCTCTTTTATATAGCCTTTCCTACCTTCAAGCCGTGGAGGCCAAGGAAAATTCTCATCCAACTCCCATATATTGGAGCTTGGCTAATAAAACACGGTTGGTTTTATTTTGATTCGACTTTTTTTATATAATTTTTGTGAAAGGTTTTTTAAAAAGGAAGGTCCAAACTAATTCAAACCTACTATAAAGTAAGAAAAAGAAAAAGAAAGAAATCAAAGAGAAAGCCAAAAATGCAAGAACAACAAAAAAAAAAAGAAAAAGAAAAATAGAAAAGAAAGAAAAAAGATATAAAGAAGTAGCTTCCAATCTTCTTTATGGCAGTTATAATTACAGTGGAACCTCGGGTTACAAACTTAATTCGTTCCGTGAC